TACATATAGATGATGCTCTCAAGTCAACCTTTAATGTAGAGATGGTTACATATAGATGATGATTTCAAGTCAACCTTTAATGGAGAGATGGTTACATATAGATAATGCTCTCAAGTCAACCTTTAATGTAGAGATGGTTACATATAGATGATGCTCCCAAGTTAACCTTTAATGTAGAGATGATTACATACAGATGATACTCATAAGTCAACCTTTAATGTAGAGATGGTTTCATACAGATGATACTCTCAAGTCAACCTTTAATGTAGAGATGATTACATACAGATGATACTCTCAAGTCAACCTTTAATGTAGAGATGGTTACATACAGATGATACTATCAAGTCAACCTTTGATGTAGAGATGGTTACAGACAGATGATACTCTCAAGTCAACCTTTAATGTAGAGATGGTTACAGACAGATGATACTCTCAAGTCAACCTTTAATACAGAGATGGTTAAATAAAGATCATACATGGTCACATAGTTACTCACATATGATGCTCTCAAGTCAACCTTTAAGGTAGAGATGGTTACACACAGATGATACTCTCAAGTCAACCTTTAATGTAGAGATGGTTACATAAAGATGCTAATGATACTCTAAAACACAAGCATCAATAATACACCATCTAAGCGTAAACAATTGGGACCAGAATACTGAACAGTTGTCTAAAGAAATGTGGCAAGAATTTAATCAAAATCTGCGATTGTCTAAAAACTGGCCAAAAGTGTAACCAGACTGATCCATTAATGTCTATAACCTGAATAATAAATGCAACCAGAAGTCTGAATTATTTCTATAGGCAGTCAAACAAATATAACTAGTAATTTATAACTGTCTAAAAACTAGACAATATACTCAGTTATGTACTTGACTGCAATAATAATACAGTAACTTCTGAAACATGAAAAATGCATAATTGTGGACAACATTTTTCCATAAAAATATAACAATGTAATGAGAATACTGTGCGAGCATGACGAAAGTGGAGAATAGCTCTCTCAAAATTGTCAGCATTAGTTTTATAATAATTATTTAGTGAAGCAGAAACTGGGTGATTTCTGAAAACTTAAACAAAAATTGCACAATTTTTCTATAAAACAAAACAAGAAGTTTCACAGGGTGAGGGACTGATGTCTTCTCTTTCAGGGAAAAGCTTGACATCTTGACTTGTAAGCGATCACTTCTTCATGTCATTGTATGTTGTTAACAAAATCTACAGTGTGTGCAAAATTAAATCAGACATTTCAAGAATAATTTTAAAAATCAAATTATCAGGTAGTTAAGGAATGGAACAAATACATCAATAAAGGGTACACAAGATAATACACAACAAAAACCAAAAGCTAAAACTAAAATATGTGCATATGCTGAGAAAACACAACATTGAAAATAAATACAAAACATTTCAAATTGAAAATATGACAAAAAAAGTGTTATCACAAACTATCTTCTCTTTTTTCCCCCAATGGAGCACAGGCCCTTAACCAACTCAGGCCAAAGTCCTAACCCTGGCCATAACACGCAGCTCTCTCCACTCTTCCCATCTTTTTAACTTCACTGTATAGTTCCCTTCTCCATGCGTTTTTTGGTCTACCTTTTCTGATAAGAATTGTCCGTCTGTGTAGCTGTTCGCACGTAACTCTGTAGCTACAGCGACGTTCCTCCATTTACCCCAGATTATCACTCTGGTAGCCATTTCCTAGAGGCTGGGTGAACCCCCGGAGCCGCCCTGTTTCGAACAAGAATTAAAAGTCTTCAGTTTAGTTAATAGTTTTGATTTATTTTGATTTCCACACATTTTCTAATGCTGTGAAAACTCCTCTTGCCCTTTGTATTCTAATTTTATAACTATCTTATGTCGCCCACAGGTGGATATTCCAGGACAAAACAACAACAGTGGTCATTGGATATTTGGATATACCAGGACAAAACAACAACAGTAGTCATTGGATATTTGGATATACCAGGACAAAACAACAGCAGTGGTCATTGGATATTTGGATATACCAGGACAAAACAACAACAGTGGTCATTGAAATATTTGGATATACCAGGACAAAACAACAACACTGGTCATTGGATATTTGGATATACCAGGACAAAACAACAACAGTGGTCATTGGATATTTGGATATACCAGGACAAAACAACAACAGTGGTCATTGGATATTTGGATATACCAGGACAAAACAACAACAGTGGTCATTGGATATTTGGATATACCAGGACAAAACAACAACAGTAGTCATTGGATATTTGGATATACCAGGACAAAACAACAGCAGTGGTCATTGGATATTTGGATATACCAGGACAAAACAACAACAGTGGTCATTGAATATTTGGATATACCAGGACAAAACAACAACACTGGTCATTGGATATTTGGATATACCAGGACAAAACAACAACAGTGGTCATTGGATATTTGGATATACCAGGACAAAACAACAACAGTGGTCATTGGATATTTGGATATACCAGGACAAAACAACAACAGTGGTCATTGGATATTTGGATATACCAGGACAAAACAACAACAGTGGTCATTGGATATACCAGGACAAAACAACAACAGTGGTCATTGGATATTTGGATATACCAGGACAAAACAACAACAGTGGTCATTGGATATTTGGATATACCAGGACAAAACAACAACAGTGGTCATTGGATATTTGGATATACCAGGACAAAACAACAACAGTGGTCATTGGATATTTGGATATACCAGGACAAAACAACAACAGTGGTCATTGGACTTATTCAAGAGTAAAGGACAATTTAAGCCATGGGGTGTTCTAAGGAAATTATGCTAGTACAATATATTTTTGACCAACTGATACTGATATGATCATGTTGGCTGCCTTTACTTCAGGTGATATTTCTTCTTGTGCACTGGCCTTAAAAAAAGCCTTTTCAGCCCATCATAATTCAGCAAAACCTGAGGTAGCCACCTCTGTTCAGTTTGCTTGTTGAGGGTCAGTGAGGCGCGCCCCCCCCCCCCCCCCCCTTTCACCCAAGGTGCTATAGAAGCTGAATTGGGAACCTCACAATGTATGCAGTACTTTTCTTGGAGAAAAAAAAAAAAGGGGGGGGGGGGCAACATCATCAGTTAAAACTGTCTTAGTGTCATGGCTCTTTATCCCCAAAAACATTTTCAACAAAATTAACCTGGTCTAAATTTTGTTTAAAAAAAAAATGCCTCCTTATAATTATCTTAATTCTACCCTAAGAAAAAATAGGAAAGGAAGAATTGGCAGAATAAATTTGGAGCCTTCTGCAGTTTTAATAATCCTCCAGGGGCTCAAATCACATGACCACTGAGCAGTTAAGCAACTGTGAAGTCCATGGCTAAATGTTGGCAGTCAAATCACTAAAATAATCCACATTAATTATTATTACTTCCATACACAATTTTTTAAAGGGATTTAGTCACTAAATATAAATGCAGTAAAACATTTAACTGTATTCCTCCCCTTTGACCACGAAAAACATTATGTCATAGCCTAATACAACACTAAAATCTCTTTCATATCAAAAGGATCACCCCTCCCCTCCCCCCTCTCCTCAGAACAGCAGTGACTGCCTATATTTAAACTCAGAACTGCTTCCTTCTGCAAATGACCTCAATCTGCAAGTGTTTTAGCTGTTTTTGAGAGCACAAAGAATTAAACTCACTTTCTTTCCATTACAAACTGGCAAAACAATGATAAACCTTTCAAGTAATAAAGATTACAGACATTCACAGAAAGTCCTCTCAGAAATTTAGTAACTGGCTGCATCTCTAAATGTGTTTTGGTTGTGAAGAGTTTATATCTTAAGAGCCCAAAGAATTAAACAGAAAACAGGACTGGAAAAACACAGGGCGTATGTCAGCTTTACAACAATTTACAACAGACATTTACTGCAGCCAGTAGCCTTCCTCAGAAATATACTTTCTGTTTTTCCAATATTTGTAAGACTCGCATGAAAAAGATCACATATAGCTCTCTCAGGACCACAGTGACTGCCTGCACCTGCAAAAGTGTTCCACTTGAGAATTTACAATATTTGGTGATTTGTAGTGTGCAAAAAGAATTAACACGCTCCCAGTTTGTTACCAACTGGCACAACAATGATATATTTCTCACATGAAAAACACAGACATCTCTCCCTGGATTACAGTGACTGCCTGCACCATCAAAAGTGTTCCGATTGAGGACAATTTATATCTGGTAATTTTTCAGTGCATACAAAATTAAACACTCTCATTTTGTTACAAACTGACAAACAAGTGATATATTTCTCGTAAGAAAGACAGAGACAGTCACTGTAGCCCTAACAAAACTTCACTGACTGGCTCTATCTCTAAAACTTGTTTTGTTATGAAGATATCACATCTGAAGATTTGTTGGGTGTATACAGATTCGAACACATTCTCATTCCATTATAACTTACTACAATACAATACTAATACATACATTTTCTCACATGACAGTGATCACATATAGCCAATGGCAGCCTTCTTAGACCTGCAGTGACCGCCCTATCTCCAGAAGATTTTTGGTCAGGGAGAACTGATTAGTCAGTAGTTCCTAATCAGCTGAGACTTGCAGATTCATTTTAGTTACAAAGATCTGCCACAGATCTCGTACTTTTTAATTTGTGATACAGAAGAACTTCTTAAAGTGTATAATTAGCATTGCAAAAAAGGTGTTGCATTCTAAATGTAAGTTTTTTAAATAACTGATATCACAGACCCTTTACATTTGCTACAGGAATGGAGCAGCTATGGGGTGACCCATGTGCTACCAAGTTGGAACTCTGATTACTTGATTATACTTAAGTTTGTTCCACAGACTCCCAGTGAGCGGGGACTACCAGATGGAAAATACTGAACTAATCCACACCTAGCGAGTAGTTCTGTGCTCAATGAAGCAAACAGACTTCCACGCTGGCATAGCTCAGTACTAAATGATACATCTCCCTCACAAACAGACAGATCACAAATCACTTGCGCTTGCTAACAGTCGATGACTTGGACTTGACAGCTTTTCTGGAGGAGGAGCCTCCAGAGAAAAAGTTTGTGATCATCTCTGCGGCGTCAGGCATGCTGGGCCGATTGTTGAGGACACTCATCTGATTCTGCATCTCCTGTAGATTGGACAAGTGCACCAGTAAGTACCATACATTTGTGTTTATGTAGAGTTTAATAAGTTGGACATATAATGTGGTTGAATACCTGTCACATAAGACTGCGAACACAATTATTGCATGCCATTTAGAGCCAATTTTAAACAGTGGCTTTGAATCCAGCACAATTAATAAACAAGCCAATTAATTTCTTGAGGCCTCAGAGATATGATTTTACAGTGAAATGTAAACAATTTGACAGACATCAAAATGAAAGCCTCTCATTCTCTTGCCAATCTCCAGCCCTATATACTTTCAAAACCAATTCATCTTCCATATTTTCTATCCATTTCCCCAGAGGCTGGTCTATGTCTCGTTGTCTAGAAACTGTACCCTTGTAAAACAGTAGATGATTAAATAAAGGGTCAGTCAGGGTACTCACTCTCTGTGCATCTGCATCTGCGGCATTCATCAACTTTGGCAGCACCATAATCAACAGCAGCGGCACAATCATGGTAAGTACCTGGCAGATAGAAATAAGACAAATTAAATATGGTTAGTGCCAGTCTTAGTTAGTTAGTTAGTTAGTGTTTTGGTATCATCTCAGCCAGTCTGTATGAGGTATGCTGAAATATGACCAGCTTTGGCCTCATCTCAGCCAGTCTGTATGAGGTATGCTGAAACATGACCAGCTCTGGCCTCATCTCAGCTAGTCTGTATGAGGTATGCTAGTCTGTATGAGGTATGTTAGCATCATACGCTCAGTGTACTAGTGGCGTAAATGGTCCTTTATTTTTACATAATCAAGTTTACCCAGGGCTTTACATGAATTAACTGAGGGTCTATCTTCCAATGGCCGATGAAAGGCAGAACAATGACTATTTAGCATGAGATTAAAAAGGACACCAGTTCTTCTTCTTAGCTTTCACCAGCTGCAAACTCGAGTGGAAAGCTCTGGCTGTTCATCAACTTCTGGACTTTGGTTGTGTTCCAGAATTGAGTTTTGCATGTACATCCATTATACAGATCTGGCTTATTTGTATGCAGATGATCGGCTCCTATGCTCTCAGGCTGACTTTGAAGGACACACAAATCTCTAATAAGTTTCTCTAAGCATACTCTAAGTTTCTGTTAATAAATGCTAGTGTTCAACTTTGATAAGAACATCACAGACACCATTAAAGCACTTTATAAAGATGCAAGCAGTGCAGTGCTCATTCAAAATGAAATTTTTTTCAAAACCAGCATGGAAGTGAGACAGGGTTGCAAACTATTTCTTGTCCTTTTCAATCTATATTTGGAACACATTAGAGAAACACTAGAAAATCATGAAACATCTATATCCACTGGCGGAAGACCACTATGTAATTTTCATTTTGCAGACGTTGATTTCATGGCTGGGTCCGAAGCAGAACTCCAAGAACTTACTACAAAATTAGAGACAGTCTGTGGAAAATATGGCATGGAAATTAATGCTGAGATAAGCTAGATTCTGATTACTAGCTACAATAATCAAATACCTACCAACATACAGATAAAAAATAAAACAACTAGAAAAAGTTGAAACCTATCAATATCTTGGCTCCCCCATATGTAGCATGGACCACATAGGTGGGAAGGACATCATTTATTTCCTGGGTTATTTTATAGTGAGTGCTGAAAGGCAGAAGAAGAAGGAGAAGAATAAGAATGACTACTTACCATAGGATTAAAAAGGACATCAGTTAACCTCCACTGCTCACGTTTATGAAAATAATTTGGCTTTCCCCTCTCCCTGAACTCCAGTGGATAGTTGACAGTTTTCACCAGGTTTGGCTGTAAGAAATTTACCCGGCGGGCTCGAATCTTCCCCTTGGAGGTGATATCCACTCTAAACGTTTCAAACAAGGCATCTGGGTTGGCAACCTCCACTATGTAGGAGCCGGATGGTACACCATGCACCACAAAAGTACCATCAGTTCTGTCAAGTGGACAACAACAATGAGTTGGATGCCACTAGTTAATGAATATATTACCTGCTGCAATAATCTAATGACAGCAGAAAACATGCTGGAGAAAGAAAGCTTTAGAGAGCTGTAAGGAAGAATTAAACAGTACATCACAAATACAACAGATTTTATATGAGATATTAATATAACTTAAGACAGAATAATGCTATCTCAGATTACTTTAAATATTAAAAAAAACACAGATTACATAATTTGATTATCATTTTTCAAAAAATTTGTTAAAATTGAATTAAACTTAACAGTTCTATACTTAATATTCAATTTAAAAAAAAAAAAAAGGTGGCACAGTGATTTTAGTCCAGGGATGAGGGAAAGTTGAAGCATTTGTGCTGTGCATGAGGAGATACTGCCTACCACACCTCAGGAGCCAGCAGGCTCTGTGCTGCTTTTACGGATTCTCATGCAAGACTTCTGCCACAAATTCCCGTTGTATGCTATGGATAATTTCCCATATCGGCCTGAAATTAGCTGCCAGGGCATCTAGGAGTTTGTGACCTCCAGAGATGCTGTGCTCAGAAAGCCTTTGACACTTGTCAGCCCATCTCATGTGCATGACTGAATGCATATGTGAAACTCATTTGGAACATGAGTGAAATATGCTGGCCGAGTACTCTGCATGACAAAGTCAGGGTTAAATGTCTGCCATCTGAAATTCCTACTATATGACACAGCTTGATTCGAAGCAGAGCTGTCTTAACAGCATTATGGGTCCCTGTGCAAAGTAGTGTGCTGGGGCCCATGTGACAACCTATCACAGGAATAAAAGTATTTATGGCAAGTCACCTGACATACACAGATTTGCATAGGTCCCTATGCTCGTGGCGCCCAGGAGGCTTTTATGTTCAATCAGCACTGATTCAACATGTTGATGGAGACTCCTACTGTATGGCAGCTTCCATCTATCAAGAGTCCTATTTTATGACATGCAAGGCTGAACATCTGCTATCAACTGCCACACTCATCAGAGTGTAAGGACCATACAGAGAAGCCATAGGAAGCCATGCCTCATGCATGCTTCCCATAAATGTCATAAAATGTGTTTTACGTTGGTGAAATGTGTCACTGTCAAAGAGACGTCTTAACATGCAGAGAAAGTGAGTAACCCATTTGTGCAGCCAGTCTCCAGCCTGTTGACAGCTTCCTGGGCACCCCTGACAAGTGCTCAATATATGGATGTGAGGTTAAGCAGTCATGTGCAGCACTTGGATGGTGCTCTGCCTTTCCTGTGTCCTCCAGGGACATCTGTGGTCAGGGAATGATGAAGTCACCACACATTTGAGGCTACAAATGTCCCATAAAAGTAATCAGGAAGATTAACCTGGATAACAAATGCCTGAAGAAGTTGGGTGTGCTGGTGGAGAGTAGTAGAATTTTGCAGATATGCTGTAAACAGTCACAAGGCGTTTAGGTCACTCAGAAGAAGAAGTGAAGTTGGATGAAACTACAACTACATTACCTCTTATCTTATCATCAAACAGAAAGGCTGAGTGAAGAAGAAGAGAGGCAGAGGAAAGAAGAGAAGATACCAGCCCAGTTGAGTCTGGTATAATTATTTGCTGACGGAGCCATATTGATCACATAACTTATTCTCAGTTCAGGAGATAGATGGATAGGCCTAGAGACACTAGGCATGAAAATATGGGCTCTCCTTTCAACTACGGCCGGCAGACAACAGTAGACGGCCGGTTAGTCAGAGTTCTGTCCCCTGGCTGCAGTGCTATTGCGGAGTGGAAAGGAGGGAACGAAACAAATGACATAATTAATGTGTGTTGGCGATAGACAGCGTATGCTGCCCTGCTATAATTAGACGGTTACGGTTTGGGTTAGGGTTAGGATTAGGGGTAGGGTTTGGGTTAGGGTTACGGTTAGTGTCGCGGCATCTCGTCTTTGCACAAACTCATAGTAGCAACCCAAACACTACCCCTAACCGTATGATGACAGTAGGGCACTGCACGCTGTCTATCGCCAACACACAGTAATTATGTCACTTGTGTCGTTCCCTCTAGTCCACTCCGTAATGCGTCGCAAGAAGCGGTAATTAAACGCGGTCGCTAATTTGAGTCGCAGCGCAGGGTCTGTCAGGCATGTCGACCTCACTGTGTTTTTTTATTCGTGCCGTCTCCAGTCCGTAATTGCACTGCAGCCAGGGGACAGAACTCCGACTAACCAGCCGTCTACTGTTGTCTACCGGCCGTAGTATAGTTGAAAGGAGAGCCAAAATATGTGCCAGCAGGCATCGACATTTACTCTAAACTTTACAAGCTGGAAAAATATATCAGTTAGCTGGCTCAGTTTACTGGGTTATTCTTTTCAATTTATTTGAAAATCTAAACTTATTATAAACTAATAATATTATTTTTAAACATTATTAATATTTAATATTTAGTCTGTCTTACTTGACAAAACCGAGGTATTTTCCTCCGTCGACAAGAACGCGAGAATGCATCGTCCATTCTTTATCCTTAGAAGCAACATAAACTTTTCCTTCTAGTTTAAACTCAGCCTTGTCGCTGATTTCATCAGTGTCGCTACCAGTGACGAAGAAGTTTAGATTACAGAGAAAAACACACAGTAAGAACTGCAGACACTGAAGTGGTTCGTCCATCTTTGTTGCTGAACTGTGAAGGGTTACTTCAAAAGTCGCACTTGTTTCGTTTTTCGCTGATATCAGTACAACTATTTAGCCACTGCATTGACACCCACCCATACTGGGCTACGGGTTATTACGTAACAGTTGTGTAGTCTTCTTCTGCATTTCTATTCCTCAATGGAGCATAGGCCCTCAACCAACTCACGCTAAGTCGTTCTATCCTTCGCTATTACATGGATCTCTCCCTATGTCCTCCACATATGTCTAACTTCTTCCGGGTGCCAATTCTAAAGGCTTTCCTAGTTGAGAGGAGGTACGTCAACGATGTCATATACAGAAAACCCAACCTGTCTCTACTATACTGTCGGAGTCTGCATATTTGCCTCAACTAAGAATAATAGTTAAGCAATGTTTCATGTTACAGCCTATATTTGTTATCAGGAAGTTCCGGGCTAGACTTAACAAAGCTGTCTGGGGAGATGGCAAGAAATTGCGTTCTTCTCATGGGAACCTGGTCCAGGAACACTCTTTTTAGTATCCTGGATGGAATCGGGTCCAGTGTCTTTGATCTCTTTCATCAACCCTCCTTTTGAAGTTTCTTTTTGACGTCCTCACTTCGCAATGCATGTATTTCCCATTTCAATGTCCGATGGGTTTTGCTGAAAACGGATGTGTTTAAATGAAAGGCTCAAATATCGCAGTCTAGCTATGAACCCTAAAACAACGTGTGCACCTCCCTTTGAAGGGAGAGCTAAGAAGAAGAGAAAGAAGGAGGAGGAGGAAGAAGAGTTGTATCTTATTCAATTATTTTAATATCATGGATGTAATCCTGGTTGGGTTTTCTGTAGATTTTATGTGAAGTCAGGGGGAATGGCTGATTTATGTTTAATATAAGGTGCATTCAACAAAGAGCAAATTATACAGGGTGTGTATGTGTGTGTGTGTGTGTGGGGGGAGGGGGTTGGGGGGGGGGACCTTCCCCTTAATGTCTTTCTGTTTGCATGTCGGTGCACTTGTGAGGCTGGATTCATTCTATGAGAGTGCACAAGGTAGAAGGTAATGAAGGAATACACTACCAGCACTATGTGACGTATAAACGACGCATCATGCCGATAACAAGGGCGCGGTAACATTTAGGATCACGTACGTCGAGAGCGCACCCCACCCTTTCTCTTTTTCTTGTAGATCGAAGCTCAAGTCTGGGGGGAGGGGGGAGACTTCATTGCACTGGGTTTGACCCCATATAGCCCAGTTTCGCTTCGCTGCGGAGGAGGGGGGGGGGCGACTTCATTGCACTGAGTTTGACCCCATATAGCTAAGTTTCGCTTCGCTGGGAGTAGGGGGGGGGGCGTTAACACTGCACTTCTTGCCAGCTGAACCACGCGTCGGTGAAATGAACCCAATGCCTTCAGAGCGCGAGGAAAACAGCTTCACCAGCTGTAACCATCCTTCTCTAGAAACTTTGTAAGGTGGCCCTCGGCTAGATATCGGATATACACTTTCTGCTCAAATATTTATTTACACATTTGTAATGTATCTTTATTCCAATTAGAGCATCATCATCATAATCACCATCATCGATTTCCTGTACTTTTATTTTTGTTCACCCCATCTCGTGGACTCCGAGACTTCGCGGGTTTTTCCAAGAAAGTTGGTGTTAGTCGGTCTTCGTTTCACATCCCAGCACCCCTATACTATTGGACTTTCCCTAGAACTTTCGACGAAATCTCAGAGTATCCGATATGGGGTGAAGACAAATTAATTCTAATTTCCACCGTTAAGGGCGTGGGGAGGAACAGTTGGAGATCCATTGCTTGATGGGCTGCAATTGCCATTCCATGTCGACGTAGAAGCTTCTTGCAGGGGTCCAGCTTAGAAAATGTGTAAGTTTGTTGAGGTCCCCTTCCCTGGGACAATTTGCAATTAGGGCGGGAAACTTGGTCATAGCTGTTTTAACTTTAATAACATTGATAATAGCCTCTGACACAGAGACCAAACGCGGCAAGTTATTGAACTTTTGACCCTTGAACTATGACATTCTTCCTGCACACATGTGATCCAAAGGAGGGGACACCGCCCCTTCCGGTTCAGTCCATGAAAAGTGTAAACATTAGCCGCCTGTTGTAAGCAGACATACATTTCCACCCTCACATCCTCGTTCTCTCTCGCACCTCTACAAGATCATCTCTGTCCATGGAGGTAAGTACCCAGACACAAGCCACACTTGCACAAAGAAAACCTAGCGCTGTGGCAGATCGAGCTCTGTATATTTATTACGTATGTCTGGCCACTGGTTCTGGCAGTAGATAAATCGAGTTAGCTACTGCGATGCTATATTCGTAGTTTACTATTCCCTGCATTCGCTGATGACTTTTGCTAATCTAGTGTAGCAGTCAGCAAAATGAAGAGGAAAGATTGTGGTGCAAGCTCTAAGTGACAGATCTGCATTCCTTAAATATTGATGATGAAGAGCTGGAGATGGTTAACCACTCTTGGATCCACAATGAATAACAAATTAAATTAATTCTTCTAACATTAACACTGCATCAAGAAATCAACATCAGGACAGCCATAGGAAAGGAAAGGCAGCAACAACGAGGAGCAGATTAGCAGAAAGGGTTTGGGAGGACAGAAAGCTTGTGATTAAAACAAAAACTCATGTCTATCAGGCTTATGTTCTCAGCTTTCTTATTTACAGCAGTAAAACTTGGTCAACTTATCACACTGGGGAGAAAACGGCTTTCACGTGCAATGTCTAGGAAAAGTGCTTGACATTACGTGGCAGGACAAGATTACAAACACTGAGCTGTTGGAAAGAGCAGGTATTAGAACGTTTTCTCAATGCTTAGTCTACGAAGGCTCATGTGGCCAGGTCTCACCTGAAGAATGGAAGATGGTACAGTCCCAAAGGTCATCCTGTGTGGTGAATTACAGATGGGTAGAATATGTCAAGCCTCTACTACAAAATAATTATGTGTGTGTAAGTGGGACATGAATGATATGGATATTGAGATGGATTCATAGGAAGCTGATTCCATTGACTGTGTTGTGTGGAAAATCAGGAAGGGAATAAGAATAAAGGAGAAAAGAAGTGCAGGTAGGTTGAAGGCTGGCATCTGAGAAGAAGAACACTAGATACATGTTATGGCAACAACAATTCTGAATACCATTCTATAATTGTGAAATACTTGTCTTAATGCGGGCAGGTCTTGCTAGTCACACTCGCTATCGCCACGGGCTGTGAGTCCCATGCCTCCTCATAGCACAATGTAACACTATTGTCTGGAAAGACTGAAAAGTGTTAAATTAATAGCAGGAAACTGATTCTCATTATTTCTTTAGAACATTTACAGCATTTTAATCATTGAAGGTAAATTAGAAAGAAATAAGTTAAAAAATGCAGAAATGTGGTAAGAAGATGTTAATTAACTGTCTGTTCTCTGTCTGATGTGAGAATAGATGTCAACCCTCTGTTCTCTGTCTGATGTGAGAATAGATGTCAACCCTCTGTTCTCTGTCTGATGTGAGAATAGATGTCAACCCTCTGTTCTCTGTCTGATGTGAGAATAGATGTCAACCCTCTGTTCTCTGTCTGATGTGAGAATAGATGTCAACCCTCTGTTCTCTATCTGATGTGAGAATAGATGTCAACCCTCTGTTCTCTGTCTGATGTGAGAATAGATGTCAACCCTCTGTTCTCTATCTGATGTGAGAATAGATGTCAACCCTCTGTTCTCTGTCTGATGTGAGAATAGATGTCAACCCTCTGTTCTCTATCTGATGTGAGAATAGATGTCAACCCTCTGTTCTCTATCTGATGTGAGAATAGATGTCAACCCTCTGTTCTCTGTCTGATGTGAGAATAGATGTCAACCCTCTGTTCTCTATCTGATGTGAGAATAGATGTCAACCCTCTGTTCTCTGTCTGATGTGAGAATAGATGTCAACCCTCTGTTCTCTATCTGATATGGAAAGTAGATCTGACTGTCTATTCAGTTTTTGATGTGGTAGGAAGATGTCAGTTGTCTGTTGTCTATCTGGTATAGGGAGAAGATGTCAGCTGTCTGTTGTCTATCTGGTATAGGTAGAAGATGTCTGTTGTCTATCTGGTATAGGTAGAAGATGTCAGCTGTCTGTTGTCTATCTGGTATAGGTAGAAGATTGTTGTCTATCTGGTATAGGTAGAAGATGTCTGTTGTCTATCTGGTATAGGTAGAAGATGTCAGCTGTCTGTTGTCTATTTGGTGTAGGAAGAAGATGTCTGTTGTCTATCTGGTGTAGGTAGAAGATGTCTGTTGTCTATCTGGTGTAGGTAGAAGATGTCTGTTGTCTATCTGGTGTAGGTAGAAGATGTCAGCTGTCTGTTGTCTATCTGGTGTAGGTAGAAGATGTCTGTTGTCTATCTCGTATAGGAAGAAGATGTCAGCTGTCTGTTCCAGTTGTTCCCAGCTTGCTAACACCCGATGACTTTTCTTTTTTGTTTTTGAAAGTCTGACATGGACCCATATACGTTTTAAAAGTCATAATGAGAACTTATGATTTACAAATATGAGAATCACAGAAAAGATTGCATTCTAAAATGGAATTTGGGGGGAGAAGGGGGGAGGGGGGGGGGGGGAATATGTAAGTGTGTGTAAATGATGTCAAACCTCTTAAATTTGTTTGCCAACCTTTGGCGGCTGCAGACCACTGGATGGGGAAAAAAACTGGTCTAATATAGGAAGGTAATGTCAACTGTCTGTTCTTTTTCTGAGATAGGTAGAAAATGTTAGCTGACTTGTCTAATCTCGGTTTTTACTTCTGGCAGTACACGTGGTACTCCTGTGCTCCCAGGTCAACCCAGGTTTGAATGGGTACAATATGGAGTCCTGACAAGTAAAGGCGGCTGACTACATCACCGCCCAAGGGAAGATTGGTCTATAAGATATAGGTCTAGGCCTATATACTCTGTACACCCGCAGGTGTTGAAAAGTCCTTTACTTTATATGCACAGTGGTACTGGCTCTTTTGTTTTT